ACGAATTATAACTCTAGACATCATAAGTTTGAATTTTAGTAATTCTTTAGAATTAGGTCATTAGGGATTTATTCCTCATAAATATTTTTGTTTCGACATGAATGTCTATTTTTAATTGGACCGAAAAAAGGATTAGTCAAAGTGTGTGTAAACTGACTCGAACAACCTTGACAGTTAAAAATTAAAATAATGGTTGTGCTGAAACAAAGCTTATTTCTTGGGCCAAAACCATACATCCAAGAGAGGGGCTCACAGANTCATAAGTTTGAATTTTAGTAATTCTTTAGAATTAGGTCATTAGGGATTTATTCCTCATAAATATTTTTGTTTCGACATGAATGTCTATTTTTAATTGGACCGAAAAAAAGATTAGTCAAAGTGTGTGTAAACTGACTCGAACAACCTTGACAGTTAAAAATAAAAATAATGGTTGTGCTGAAACAAAGCTTATTTCTTGGGCCAAAACCATACATCCAAGAGAGGGGCTCACAGACCGATTCCTCTTGTGTGCATGCCTTTGTCCAAAAAAAATAAAAACCATACATCCAAAAAAATTGAATGTTGAATATTTTTGGACAGTCCTATTCTTGTATTTGCAACTTGACATAATTCAGATTCATAGATGCATGTATTTTTAGACAGTTAATTGTGAATGAAATAAATGGAAATCTTTTATGTTTATGTCAAACATGATCGGTTACATGCCAATTTTTAATTAGTATTACATGCAAAAATTTGTTGTCAAAGCATCTTTTAAATGTTTTCAAATATACTGAGGAACAAAATTTATATTTACTTAAAAGCATTTATAGATACCTTAATGATTTTTTTTTTTTGGCTATAACTTAGGGTGTGTTGCCCTTTTTATTTTATGGCTTTTGTTGATGTTTTTCATTTCTCTATCGATTATTTTACGGTGCAAACGTACACCTCAATTAATCTCATCTTAAAAAAAAATAAAATTAATCTCATCTCCAATTTACTTAAAAAATGGTCATCTATATTAAAATTATTATATTTATGAGGAATAAAATTTATCAATTATATTTTATGAAACTTTCACATATCCAATACAATAAAATTGAGATTGACAATTCAAAACTATCACTAAAACTATTAACCACTACTCTCTTCCCTGGCTAGTCGGAGACGATGTCTAAAAGTCTAATAAAAGGTAGGTGGCAAGGAGACAGCTCCGAGAAAGAGAAAAGGGGGTTTGTACTTGGTATTGGTAATAGATTTCTCTCTCCTGTCCTGTGGCATACAAACCAAGCCAAGCCACGCCAAGCGAAACCCAACCCAGTCATCCTGCAATCTAGGGTTCGTCAAATCCCAAAATCTCTTTCTTTCGCTGCCCAATTTTATTCGTTGTCTCTATTCATCTTCCTCACTCAATACCTACATTCTCTTCAGCACTATTTCCGCTCCACTTTTACCTCTTCGCAATCGAATTCTCCTGATTTTCGGTACGTCAAAATCTTCAATAAAACTAAACAAAAAAGAAAATCAATCAATATTTTCTACTGTGTGTGACCAAAAGCTAATATGTATGCTTTTTATTTTTAACGTTTTCGATTTGACTATGCTTTCGAACTCCAGGCTGATTTGATCATCAATTTTTCAGAGATAATACATTCGAGAGATCTTTGTTTGATTCTTTAGGTTTTGTATCCATCATGACGATTCCTGATTCGGGGAATATGATGGAGAACGGATCAATTGAGTTGCCATGCACGCCGGAGGAAGAGAAACGGATCGTAACGGAGTTAACCAAAAAAGCGGATGCAAATCTGAAAGAAGGCAATTTGTACTATGTCATCTCCAACAGGTAATCTCTGCCATCAAACTATTGATTTTTCAGCTTTCGTTATTTTTTCCTTTTTTCATTGATTTAATTCTAATTGACAAGCATTGACTTTTGTTTGCAAACCTAAAGGATATATCACATGCATACATGTGTTCTATATGTAATGATGGGACGATTGATATAATTTGGGAACTTAGCCACGATTTAAGCTTCTCTAATTAATTCTATTAAAATCTATGTGTGGAAAACCTACTTCAAGCATCGGAGCTTGAATTAAAGCTTGATCATATTATGTCGTAAGTGGGACCATCTAGTTCGATATGTGATACCGTGATTCATTGGTTATAATCTTTGGGAACTTAGCCTAAGATTATAGCTTCTCTAATTAATTCTATTAAAATCTATGTGTGGAAAACCTACTTCAGGCATCGGAGCTTGGATTATAGCTTGATCATATTATGTCGTAAGTGGGACCATCTGGTTTGATATGTGATAACATGATTCATTGGTTATAATCGGGCTTAAGTTGGTAGGCAACCCCAATTCTCATGAAAATCCATTCTTTAAAGGTATCAAAATAATGATCTTGATGTTGTAACTAATTATCTTTTGTGGTGCCATTTCTTTTTGTGATTTAAGTATACTCTGGAAGTTGCATGGAATTGTAGCATCTGCAGCTAATTTAAGCTGCACGATGCAGATTTATGCCTACTGAAAAAACAGCACATATTATCAAAGATTAGAGTTTCCCTGCATAGATTCTTCACGTAGTGCCTATGCTGTCAGCTTGTCAACCAGACATGATTCATCCAAATGGATCCATTGCTTAAGGTTTCCTGGGTGTGTTCCTTTACTCTATGTTCTGTAGCAATTCTTGTGATGTTCACCTTTGTTAATGATCTTGGTGGCTTGAATTTTTGCTAAGGTTGAGATGTACTATTTCATGGGCTAAGTTCAAGATATATTGTGCAATTGAAAACTGGACACTTGTGATTGGATTTGAATCTCAGTGCCAAAAATGTGCTACATTGTTAACAGAGACAACAAAGCAATGTTGCAACCTGAAAAATTGGCTAAGATGACATCCTCAAACTTGACCCAGATCTCTGGAGCTTTCCTAGCCACTGTTGTTTTGTTTTGTTATTTTCGTATATGAAAATAGGTTTGATTTTGTTCTGTCATTGGTGCCAGTTCTTCAAATGACTTCCAGTCACATAATGCTTATATGCCTGAACTAGTTATATTCTTCTTAGTTCTTACGATAAGTGATAACTTCTCTCTCTCTCTCTCTCTCCCTCTCCCTTTCTCTTTTCCTTTCGTTCAACTCACAAAATCCACTAAAAGCATAGGGGGCTGCCACCCATGTCCACATAATGTGGACTCTATCATTCTATTTTGATTGAAAAAAGTATGTTATTGCTACAGAATGGATCAAAGTGGTTGTCACATGACTGTAACTTTAAAAATCTCAAGATCAAGTCATGACTAAAGGTCAACAACAATAATAAATTAGAATGAGGACCAGTAAATAATTGATATGATGAATAAGGTCGTCGGCGTTCTCATGCCCTTGGAAAATGCTGCATCACTTCTTGTGTGGAGTTTGTGGAAATAAAGTGTGGTCCATGTTGGAAATTTTTTTTTTTTTGGTTGCTGATAATACTATGCTTCGGAGTTATGAATAGTTATTTTGGGTAAATAAGGAGTTCATGCCCACTGTTAAAAATGTCTTGTCCTTTATGGGAAACCAACCACGCTCCCTCAGTTATCAGGTGGTTTTGTTCCTTCCTTCGCATTTTGTCATACTAGCTTTTATCGTCTAAGCCCATATTCATCTATGCTGATGGTATGGCTGGACTCTTCAATGCATTTTTTCGGGAAGATTGTAATTTTATTAACTGTGAGGATTGTTGTTTAGTTAACAATTTTTAGATTGTGAAACATTTTATGTTGCTGTAACTATTCGGATGGTTGTGCAGGTGGTTCATGGACTGGCAGAAATATACAGGGCACGACATTGATGCTTATCCATTTCCTGAGCCTTCTTCTGCTTCCTGGCCTTTGGTTCTGTCAAAGACAGCAGATAGACCAGGACCGATTGATAATACTGATATAGTGTCAAATGGAAGTGATTGTGTAGATGATGATCTACAGCTTCATAGGACACTAGAGGAAGGGCGTGATTATGTTTTAGTTCCTCGAGAAGTTTGGGAGAAGCTTTCTGAATGGTAGTTGTATTCTGTGCTGTCCCCATTCTTGTTCTGATACCCTTTCCTGGAAATGCTGTTAATTTTGTTCTCTTCTGCTTATGAAAATTATATATTTTTTCTTTCGTAAAGAATTTTCACATATCTAAGCAGTGCTCTCAACTTAGAAACCAAATGTAGATTACTTAGAGAGACAACACAACGCTTAATGTAAAAGAAAGCAAACACAACTTGTATTTTAATTCTTTGGTAAAGCTCAGAGAGTTTGCTATTGACTTGAGTGCAAGTGGTCAAATAATGTAGAGTCCGAATCATATTTGGGTTATCGGAACTTGGCCTTGAGCCAATTGTTGGTATGTGTTGTGGATGAAAACATTATTTTCTACAAAAAGTGAAAAGGGAAAAAATAGATGATGGGCAGGCTGTACAGTGTCCATCTATGTCCTTGTCATTATATTCGGGGCAAAGTCACTCTCTCTTTCTCTCGTAGCAATTGTTAAGGCACTGGTCTATCATGAAAAATATCAGTTATGTTGGTGAATTACTTTAGTGTTGGTTGGAGGACCCTTTTTGGCATGTACTTGGCAATTAGAAGCACATATGACTTGTTTAACTCATTGAAAGATATTGCAACATAATTTCTTTTCAGACTCGGTCAATATTCTGTCAAATCATATTATTGGTATACCTATTGATTATTTTGAGCACCTAAAATTTCTTGTTCTGTCAAAATTTAGTCCATTTTATATACTTTATTTTCTTGGAGCATTTAAAATTTTCCCTTTGTATTTCCTGTGTGACTCTCGTATGCTTTCTATGATGGCTTTTGCATATGGTTTGATATTAGATTGTTTTTATAACTTTGCATGGATCTATCCCCAATTATTAGTTGGATAATATGGCTCCCGAGGCTTAGTATGACTTTCTTATGCACATGTTTCTATATGTCATCACCTTGTATTTCTTATATTTACAGGTACAAAGGAGGACCGGCATTACCTAGGAAGATGATTTCTCTGGGTGTTAACAACAATTTTAGTGTGGAGGTTTTCCCTTTATGTCTTAAGTTAACTGATTCCAAAGACAAGAGCCAATCAGTTTTAAGGTTAAGTAAAAAGGTATTATCTGCTCTGTTTCTGCTGTTAATTTCTTTGTAGATTCTGCTATTGTCTGTTGATGTACCCAATCAAGAAAACAACTGATAATGGGGTTGCTTCTAAAGTTCTAATTTTATCCAATAATGTACATCAGCAGGCTCCTATTTTCTAGGATCTATTGAGGTGTTAATACTTCTCTTCCCCTTTTTTCAAGACATTGATTTTCCTAGAACTTCAATTAGCGCAAGAAGTGCCTTGATGCAACGTTTATATGTTCTCAGCTCATTTTCAATATAATCTTCTAGAAACATGGAAATTCGATGAGCTAAATTTGACTCATTGTGATGAATTTACTCATTGAAAACCTTGTTCTTAACAATGGCGAGTTTTTTTTTTTCTAACGTCTGGAGTTTGCCTGCTGCTGGTAGGAGTTAACTGAACAGTGCCTTAATATTGTAGTCTCTTACACGTGCGTGTGCGCTTACATGCACATGCTCCAGGTATATATAGGATTGCAAGCATGGAAGGAAAAAAATGAAAGTCAGCCAGCAGTAATCGATAAAGGTTATTTTCTTCCGTTTTTAGATTGGCGTTGTAGGTGAAGGCTGTGGATATTTCCTTGTCAACTTGATATACATGTTACAACAATCATTTCAATGGGAAAAAAGGAAGTGAAAACATTTAACAGAAGTCTTTTGAATAGAAAAATGTACATTAGCGTGTGCTATATTGCTCTATTGTCACTTGAGCATTAAGGATTCGAGTCATGGAAACACCCTCTTTGCATGTGAGAATAAGGCTACGTACAATTGACCTTCCCCAAACTTCCGGCAGGCTGCCCTTTTACATGTGTTATTTTACATGGTAGAATCTATTTCTTGTTAGTAGTGGACAATATGGCTCTTTCCATTCTGTCTTTCTCTTTCCCAGTGATTATAATATGCCTTTGCGTGATATTTTTTCTTTCTTATTATATTGTGCATCTTCTTATTTATTCAGTACATTTCAGGCTTCTTTACATGAGCTTTATGAGAGGGTGTGTGGACTTAAAGGGATACAACCTGAGAAGGTGTGTTATGTAATATTTGTGTGTTAAAGGTTTTTTTCCTTTGTGATACTATACTGAGGGAATCTTTTCTTTTCCTTTTTCTGCTGAAAACTCGAACAGGCACAGATCTGGGATTATTTTAATAAACAGAAACATATGGTGTTAAGTGATTCGGACCAAACCCTGGAGGAATCTAGTTTGCAGATGGACCAGGATGTGAGTATTTCGGACAGGACATCATATATATTGTGGACATGTTTGAAATGTGGAAGAGGAGTTCTATCTTGTACTCATTATCGCAATCAATTTGTCTTTACTAAAATGATCAATTTCATGAATTTGTTTTGTCACTTGGGATTGTCTATATCTTATAGCTTCTAAGAGCCTTACTTAGGGTAATAAAAAGGTTTCTAAATGCCTTGATAAGGTATGCAGGAGGTTGGTGCATAATTTAGAAACAACCAGTGCCTAATAATGTGGAGAGAAAGTCCTGCAATTCTTCATTTACTTTCTTGTATTGATTTTCATCATCTTGACAGTTGAGACATAAATATGGAAGTAGGAAAGAAAGTAGTTTCAGTAAGTTTGTTTAATTTTATTGCGGAACCTGGTAAATGCATATTAATGTTTTCTTCTGTTCATAAATGATTCTCCTGTCTATCTTTCTTTGGGAGGCCGGGGTACTCAACTTGTGAGTCAATGCTATATTGCTATGGCTGCAGATTCTTCTGGAAGTGCAAGTTGATGGATTTTGGACCTCTGGATTTGGCTTGGAATCAACGGGAAATGAATTAGCCTTGGTTCCAATAGAACCCGTAAGATCATCTGTGACAATTGCAGGGGGGCCGGCTTTGTCCAATGGTTATTCAACAGGTTATAATTCCAGTTTGTATCAGGGAAATACCTTAAGTTCGGCATTTACAGATATGGAGGATGGATATGATGTTTTGAGACCTGCGGCGAAAGGAGACAGGGGAGGTTTGGCAGGGTTGCAGAATTTGGGAAATACTTGTTTCATGAATAGTGCTATTCAGTGCTTAGTTCATACACCACTACTTGTTGAATACTTTTTGCGAGACTACACTAATGAGATCAACAGGCAAAATCCTTTAGGAATGCATGTATGTTGCTGTTCTATTCTTGCTCATAATGTAAAAGCTCTATCCATTGCTTTGCATTAAGTTTCTAATGCCTATTCTAGCTGTGCAGGGTGAGCTTGCACTTGCGTTTGGTGACCTACTGAGGAAACTTTGGTCTTCTGGGCGGACAGCTATTGCACCTCGTGCATTTAAGGGAAAACTTGCTCGATTTGCTCCCCAGTTTAGTGGGTATAATCAGCATGATTCCCAGGTTAGTATTGCAAAGTTTTGGACTGCACTTGTAATGCTTGCAGTTAAAAAAACATTTGAGTCTTTTTATATTATGCTATAGTTGCTTCAAATCTTATATTATGTTGATAAATTGGAAAAGTGAATAATGCACAATTGAGGGAGGATTAAGAAAGAGACTAAGTGCAACACAGGCAATCCGTTGTATGGATGGTATCTTTTATTTTCCAATCTTTCCTCTTAAAAAAACATCTTGTGCTATGTTCCTGTGATTGTTCTATGTCCTAAAATTGTCATGGTGCTGAAGGGTTTTTCATTGAAAGAGTTGATGAGGCTGATGCCCTTCATTTTCCATATGGAAGCATTTAGCTGCGACAGTGAGCTTGTGCTTGCCAAAAAGTCTAACTAGATATGCAGACTGCAGTCATGAACTGGTGCTGCTTCTATGACCTTATGGATGCAAATGAGTTTACTTGTTCAGCGAAGGTTCTACAACCTTGTAACGTCACTGAGTTTTTTGATAGAGCGGAGAATCCAAAATGGCAAAACGATTATGTAGATTTTGGCCTTCAGATCTTTCATCACATGTCTAATTTATGATTCCTTGCTTTTGAAAATTTGTTTGGGTTAGGTTAAGAGTTATAGTTTGTAACTTAAGCAGCCAATTTTTGTTGACATATGTTATTCTGTCTATGCTGAAGAACTCTTTGTTGTGTTTTTTATTTTTATTTTTATTGTCATAGTACTGGGATTCTTAATTTCTTTTCTGTTATCTCACATAGTATGCATATAGGACTTAACATATTCTATGTTGGTGATTGATTGATGTGATTTGTTGCTGACTACTTGGCTGTGCTAGCTCGCATATCTTAACTGACTGTTCATTTTCACGCATATCACAATTTTTTAAAAATTATCGTATTTGCTTCTCTAGGAACTTTAACATATTCTATGTTGGCGATTGATTATTGTGATTTGTTGCTGACTACTTGCCTGTGCTAGCTCGCATATCTTAACTTTTTTTTTTTGGTCAGCTAGCTTGCATATCTTAACTGACTTGTTCATTTTCTTGCATATCACATTTTTTAAAAAATTATCGTATTTGTGTCTCTAGGAACTCCTTGCCTTCTTGCTCGATGGACTGCATGAAGATTTGAATCGTGTTAAGCAAAAGCCTTATTTTGAAACCAAGGATTCTGATGGTTGCCCTGATGAGGAAGTGGCGGATGAGTATTGGAGATATCACAAGGCCCGAAATGACTCTGTGATTGTGGATGTTTGCCAGGTGAACTTGTTTTCATAAACTTATACTTTGCATCTGATAGTTTTTGATGAAATTGACAAAAATTGCTACAGAAAATAGGTTTATACTGTTACTGAGATCATACCTTCATGCCCTCATCTCATTACTCGTGTCTGTGTACAAGTAGTATTGAGGCTTGAGATACTGATATTTCTCACTTATGGTGATCTCAGTCCTTCCAGAGCGGAGACCATGGAAGGAGAGAGAAGAGAGGAGAGAAGGGGGGGGGGGGGGGGGGGGG